CGCACTATGAAGCTCTGAGATCCAGGGAATGACTGATGTCAGGACCCGCAGAGATCTCTAAGGAAGGCTGGGCCTGCAGATGCCGAAAGGAGGCAAGGACTTGTCTCCTGAGCCCAGGCTCAGAATCTGGACTAGAATCTGGCCTTCTAAACTGGGAGAGAGTCAATTCCCAGTTGTAAGAGCCTCCACTGGTGGGATTTTAGTTACGGCAGCACCAGAGAACTAAGACAAAGTGAAACAACATCATTACTGATGTCACATGGATCTGGGCTAAAATGAGAGAATACCAGAAGAATGTTTACTTGTGTTTATAGCTATGCAAAGGCTTCTGACTGTGTAAATCATGACAAACTACGGACAGCATTGTGAAGAACGGGTGTTCCAGAACACTCCACTGTGCTCATGAGGAACCTGGACACAAACCAAGTGGCGGATGGTTGCATAGAACAAGGGGATACTGAATGGTTTAAAATCAGGAAAGGTTAGCACCAGGGTTGTATCCTTTCATTGGTTGGACAACCCCTAAAAAGGAAGATTTTATGTTGTAAAGGGACTGTTAATGATGGGTGATGCTTTGCCACACATTCATTAAATCCTCTAACATCAGGTAGCTAAGCAAATAATCCGAGAAGCTGGACTATATGAAGAAGAACGTGGCACCAGGATTGGAGGAAGACATATTAATAATCTGGGGTACGCAGAGGACACAACCTTGCTTGCTAGAAGTGAACAGGACTTAAAATACTTACTGATGAAGATCAAAGACTACAGCCTTCAGTATGGATTGTACCTCAATGTAAAGAAAACAAAAATACTCAGAACTGAACTAGTAAGTAGTAACCAGAGAAAAGATTAAAATTGCCACAGCCTTCGTTTTGCTAGGATCCACCACTGGACACGCATGGAAGCGGCAGTGTAGAAATCAAATGATGCACTGCATCAGGCAAATCTGCTGCACGAGACCTCTTTAAAGTGGTAAAAAAAACAAAGTTATTTTGAGGATTACGGTGCATCTGACCCAACCTATGGTATTTTAAATTGTCACATATGTATGTGAAAGTTGGACAATGAATCCGGAAGACTGAGGAATCAATGCATTTGAGCTATGGTGTTGGAGAAGAATATTAACAGTACCATGGATTGCCGGAAGAACAAACAAATCTGTCTTGGAAGAAGTACAGCTAGAGTACTCTGATGGTGAGACATTGTCTACTGTTCTTTGGACATGTTATCAGGAGAGATCATTTCCTGGATAAGTGTATCAAGCTTGGTGAAGTGGAGGGTCAACAAAAAAGAAGAAGACCCCCAATAGGAAGGACTGACAGTGGCAGCAACTGTGGGCTCAAACCTAACCATAACGTAAGGATGGCACGGGACCGGGCAGGCAGTGTTTCCTTCTGTTGTGCACAGGGTCACTATGTGGTACAACTGAATCGAGGGTACCTAACAACAATAACAACAAAGACATTGTTGTTGTTGTAAAGTGCCGTCAAGTCAGTTCTGACCCATAACGACCCTGGATAGGGTTTCTGAGGAGCAGCTAGTGAACTTGAACTGCCGACCTTGTGGTTTAAACCAACTTTGCAGTCCAGTGCATTAATACACAGTGCCACACCAGGACTCCGTAACAAAGAACTAAAAGAAACTAAATTACTTTTCAATGCATGAGAGTCAATTATGGGCAATTATTCTGCAAGTGGTTTCTGAGACCTACTTAGAGCTCTGTCCCATGAACACTGCTGGCGCACATCAACCGACAGTAAAGCAGACGAATAGACAAAGCAAACAGTTCTGTCACTGCACTGAGGCACTCAAATGACGTTAACTTGCTGTTGAATACTTGATCAACCATTACTAAGAGCAAACACTTCTCCCCAGACTTTAACAAATAACGGGGTCGTCTTCTCTGGATCCATGCTACCGGATTTTAGAGGGTTTAATGAATGTGTGGCAAAGGATCATACATCATTAAGAGTCACTTGACAACATGAAGTCTTCCTTTTTAAGGGCTGTCCAACCAATAAAAGGGAAGCATATCAGGGCCCTACCACCGTATCTCAGAGGAAGGCCAGAGACCCATTCATAAAATCCAACTTATGAACTGGTCATTGATAACCACCCAGGCTTCATGTATCCATTCTCAGTGACTAGAATCACATTGCAAATACTAATCAGAAGGGACAACGACGACAAAGGTATCTCCACAGCAGTATCCACACAGTGATGTCCCCAGGAAGTTTAGGCTCCGCCTTGAAAGGGGATTATAGTTTAAGAGGAACGTTCAGGCTAAGCAGACTTCCTCACTACTGCCCTTCCTCTTCCACGTAGAGTGTCTGCATTTCCAGATTTCTTAAATACCCATCGATTGGAAAAGGTTGGGGAAGTGTTGTTGGAAGACCTGGAAGGGATTTTTTTCTTAGTAATAAAAGCTAAAATGGTCAGCTTTCCAAATATAGGAGCTCTGCTTATTTACCACTTGTCATCATGAGCCAAATTCTTACGGTGGGAGTGTGGTACAGCAGTTTTGGTGAAGATGAAGTGAAACAGCACAAAGGATGGCACGAGCTGCAGTTCAATCTGAGTGGACACCTCAGTTCCTGACCCCACAGCCAAGGTCAAAGGAAATGAGTGGGGGGAGACCTGCCCCTTGCTTGGTGCCTGTGCCCTCTACTGACTCCTAGTGTATCTTCAGGACAACCAGAGCCATGTGAAGAGTCAGCACGGAACACATCGCTGAGGGAGAGTTGAGAGAAAGCAATGCCGATGGCTACACGATGACTCACGTGGCAGTGATCAGTATCACCTGGGAACTTGTCAGACACGCAGACTGTGGCCCCATCCTAGACCTCCTGAATTAGGAGCTTTGGGGTGGGGCACAGACCTCCAGGTGATTCCCATACACCCTGAAGCTTGAGAACCATGAACTATATTCCATTATGAAAACATTGGAGCATCTCTCCAAGGGAAACTGGCATTAACTATATACTCTGAATCCTAAGAATAACATTAAATATGCAAGGGTGTTTGAAGATGAAAATTCATTTTATCCTACCCATCATTCCATTCCCTACAAATGATGGTGTGAAGATGAGGCTAATCCAGCTTTTCATCTGCATGGCTTTTCAAATCAACTCGGAGCTGAGTTTTTATCATGTAAAATAATTGAAACCTTATAATTCTAATTAGAAGCAAATCATCATCTCTATAACTCATATAGAAATAATTACAAACATCAGGAACCCTTTAAATATCAGCAACCAAACTGGCCACTTGGGCTGACGTGAGAGAGAAGGGGATGAGAAAAGGTGGTCTCTTTCGTAGAGTTGGATGGGAAAAGGAGGTCCACAACTCACACTCACTGGGCAAGGGGCTCTGGCATAGCACCAAATGGTCTGTAATCAGTTCTACACTGATGTAGACTCATATCACCACTACCATCACCAACCACTTCTACTACCACCATCTCCACCATCACTATGCCTCCTCAACCACCACCACCTCTACCACCACCATCTCTACCACCATCACTATGCCTCCTCAACCACCACCACCTCTACCACCACCATCTCTACCACCATCACTATGCCTCCTCAACCACCACCACCTCTACCACCACCATCTCCACCATCATCACTATGCCTCCTAAACCACCACCACCTCTACCACCACCATCTCCACCACCACCACCATCATCACCACCTCCAATCAACATCACCTCTACTCCTACCTCTACCACCCATTGCCACTTCCACCACCACCACCAAGTGTAGCTTTACTAATGAAGGGAAGAAGACAGAGATAGAAAAGTGAAGATGGTAAATGCATTTTAGGGGAAGCCATGCAGAGCTGAGCCAAAGGTCGAAGATGTGGGACAATCCAGATGTGTGAAGGCTTCTGGGACACCTGCCCTTTGTGCGTCAGTCAGCAGCACTGAATCGGGAGCCAGAAGGCTCAGGCAGATATTTTATGGCTGACTCTTGCACCAACTTGCTTCTGAGAATGAGCAAGTCGTAGCTAACCCTATGGCTCTCAGTTTCTACTTGAAACCTGAGGTGAAGGCACTAAATGTTCTTTCAGGTCTGCTCTTGTTCTAGGATCCTATAGTCTTCTAATGCCAAATCTTGCTCTGTGCTATGTATTTCAAATTTGACTTTCTATGTGCTTCAAATTTCACAAGTCTTGCTATGTGTTTCTAATTTGATTAGGAAATATCATGGGACAAGTAACTGATTAAAACAGCTGAATGAATGTTCATACACACAAATAAAATCATTTCACGTCCCTAGGACCAATTCACAAATCCAACCATTTATAGTTATTTTTACACGCTGGACTATATTGTTGGTGGTGGTGGGTACTGTCAAATTTATTTCAATTCCTAGTGACCTGACAGCACAGAGTAGAACTGCCTGAAGGTGTTTCCGAGGCTGGAATCTTTGTTGTTGTTATGAAGTGTGTCGAGTCGGTTCCAACTCTTAGAGACCCTCCCTGTATAGGGTTTCTGAAGCTTGGCTGGGAAGTTTGAGGCACCAATCTTGCAGTTAAGTCTAGTACTTGTCCTACAGCACCACACCAGGAGAGCATGGGAGCAAATTACTTGGCCTTTTCTTCTATAGAGCAACTGGTGTGTTCGAACCGCTGACTTTTGGATTAGTAGTTGAGCGCTTAACTGCTCTATCACCAGGGCTGTGGTGTTATGTAGACACATATATTGTTTGGGCCTTGACCTTTGTAAAACTTCACCAAATCCTCAAGGGAGACTCCTCCTGTCCCTCCCTTTCAATATGATGTTGTTTTATGAGGGGGCTTCAAAAAGCTCCAGAAAAATCGAATAGAAAGAACTTTGTTTATTTCCCTCATCTGATAACAAAACATAGTATCCTTTTTAAAAGACTTAAGACACATGTTGATAAGTAAATTCTTACAACCCTGAAATGTACCAAATGTATGTAAATGTTATAAACACACACTTGGTCTGTAGCCAGGGATTAAAGACTGACCTCTTTCCTGAGGCATCGGAGACTGGCTCATGGCGGGGTGGACGCTGGATTCCGACTGGCTGCCAGGGGGCTGCGGTGGCATCTGACTGCCTGTAAAACAGAGGAGGAAGGTGGGGAGGGGTCTTTGCATTAATACTGTCCTGGCGCAACACCAAAATACAGCCTCCCTCAGTTAACCCAAAGTGAACCAAAATTGCACAACCCACACAGAAAAAGACACAGCTCCCAAAATGTGAGATGTCACTTTTTCAAAAACTAAGAGGAAACTTGCAAATATATTTACTAAAAGACCTGCTGGCAAGTTTAACTCCTTACTGAACGAGTCCCCAGACACAAATATGAATCAATTTTGTAGTTGAAATCTCCTGACACACTTCAGTGAATTCAACACAACCTGTTAAAGATTGCAATCAAACTTATCCTCTAACCCCCACTCTTAGTTTAAAATAGTACCCAGGTGGGCAGATGAGTGTAACTGCCAAAGAGTTGTCACTGTTAATATTCAATGTAGTGAGAGCAACAGATTTAAAAACAATCCTTTTAATTAGAGAATTGACAAAAAAACGAAGACCTTCATTAAAAACACAAAATATATTGCTATAAAATGCAGTCATGCTGTTGTGAAGTGAAGAGTCATCAAGTCGTTCCCAACTCACAGTGACGCTGTACAGTGTTTCCAAGGAGGAGCGTGTGGGTTTGAACTGCTGAGCTTGTGGTTAGCAGTCCAGTGCTTCTCCGAAAGTGCCACACCAAGTAGTGGTGTTGGTGTTTGTGTGCTGTTGAACTGATCCTGACTCATACCGGTGCTGTATAGCATTTCTAAGGAGCAGCTGGTGGGTTTGAACTGCTGATCTTGAGGTTAGCAGTCTAGTGCTGATCTGACAACTCCACACCAGGACTCAGAAATGCAGTACAAAGATTCACAAAACACGGGCTTATTGACTCGGCATCTCTTTTCTATTTATTGCTACTACAACACACTTTCATATTTGTTTCCTTCCCCCGAATTTAATGGCTGCTCACTTTGTCTTTCAAACTATATTGTAAGTGTCTTGAGACAGGGATCCTGGCTCGCCTTCCTTTTGCCCCTCGATTCGCCCAACAGATATTGCAGAAGTCTTTGTAATTTAAATGGCCATTCATCTGACGTTATGATGCAAGGAAAAGATACTTCCATATCACCTCACTTTCTGGCTCAGAAGAACAAATATTACTGAATAAAATGAGGGTCGCTGACTTTAGCACCACTCTCAGTACATGGCCTGGCACAAAACACGAGGGTCCTGTCTTCTAGTTTCTCCATTCACTCATCATTGCCCCACATTCTGGTGCCCCAGTGACGACCAGCAAGGCAAGAAGATGGTTTGCAGTTTGTTGTTGTTGTTCAGTGCTGTTGAATCAGTTCTGACTCAGAGCGACCCTGTAAAGGGTTCCCAAGGAGTGGCCGGTGGGTTTGGACCGCCAACCTTGTGGTTAGTGTCCAGTGCTTATCTTACAGCAGGCCACATCAGAACAGCTATATGCAATTCTTCAAGATACTACTGAAAAATAACACTCGAATTGTATTCTGGCATTGAGGATTCTCTTTTTAAGAGAAGACAAACTTCTGAACGTATTTCTGAGTGCTCTGGACACTGGATCAACTGCCTCTCTGATTCCCAGATAAAGTGAAAATTGAAGAATGAATTTACAGACACTGAGGAATGTTGCACTGAGTGACCACTAGGAGCCACTCTTACGTTACAGCCGTCCTGATGTGGATAAAAGACCCAGAAAAACAGCAGAGAACTCCTTTAACCATCCTTCAAGTCTTAGATATCTGTTGTAAATTAACATTAGTACCAAATAATTAGATGTACAGTAAAAAAAAACACTTCGCTTTCCGGATCACAATGAATTCAAGGGTAAAAACTGGTCACCAATTTGGCTGTTATTGTTAGGTGCCTTGTCTATAGATACAGATATGGATATATAGATTCACTAGCTGCTCCTTGGAAACCCAATGTGTCAGAACTGACTCAACGGTACTTAACAACAATACAGACAGACCAAAGTTGGTGCATGTCCACTGTGGGGTCACATGCTTCCTACGAACCACCCCAAGGCCCTCAACTGACAGTCCATTTAGAAACGTGAATCACAAAATGCAGCCGGAGAAGAGCAAGGCTGAAAATGTCACTGGGGAGTTGGCGGCAGGAAGACAGTAAGCGTTCACATTATAATGATCATTCTGCATGACAGACTGAATTCACAGCCTCACCACCGTAAAAACAAACAGTGATTCCATGTGAACACAGGACACCGTGCCTGCCTGAGGCACTGCTCACAGACACAATACTGCAAGGGAAAAAAAAAAAAAAAAAAAGGCTGCAGAAAACCCACCCCATGAATATCAAATACTGCCAGAACCAAGCAGCATCATGGGTTGCCTGGTGCAACTGAATTAAGACAGAGATCCCTTTAAAGAAGCAATGAGGAAATTCATCAGATAGAGCGATGCTGTGAAATGAACAAACTAGAGGCACTTCATGGGAACGACTGCCCAAATCATTTTAAATCCTTCCTTTTTTTCTTAACCTCTTTTTGTGCCATAGTTTCAATTACTAGGAAGGAACTTCATTCCCCTATAAGTACAGGAATAAGCATAGTCACCGCACATGATGAATGGAAACGTGTTTGAGAAATATAGTACCATACCTACTCTTCATTTATCAGCTAGCTTGTTATCTCTTGCTAGCCAACATTTCGAATTCACAGCAATGGTAAAAAATGTACTATGCAACAATTTTGCACACTGATGACATACATCTGGCATTAATGAATGCCGAGGTGCGAGGTGAGAATGATGGTTAAGGTTATGTGTCAACTTGGCCAGCCTAGGATTCTCAGTGTCTCATGTAATGTGGCAGTTATGTATTGATAAAATTTGCAATAATGTACTGTCTTAGCTATCTACTACTGCTAAAACAGAAATGCCACAAGTAGGTGACTTGAACAAAGAGAAACAGATTCTCTCAAGTCCAGATTCAGGGTGCTGGAGCTAGGGGAAGGCTCTCTCTCTCTCTCTCTCTCTCTCTCTCTGTTGGCTCACAGCTTAAGGTCCTTGTCTCCTTCCAACAACTGTGGGCTTTGCATCCACACTGGAGGCCTTCATATGTCTTGGCATTAGTCTAACCTGGGGTCTAGGAAGTTCACAGCATAGGGACTCTGGTACCAAGGATAGCATCTGTGCTCAGTCTTCTTTCTTGGTGATGGCAGAACCCTCTAATCTCTGCTCACTTGTCTCATCTTTTACTAGATTTCAAGAGACTGACACAAGAGATAAACTGATCCTGTAGACTGAATCCTGCTTCATTAGCACACAGTTAGTTAGGACATGGTGGTGGTAATGGTGTGCCCTGCAGTAGGTTCTGACTTATAGAGACCCGGCATAGGGTTTCTGAGGCTGTACTACATCTTTATGGATCAGAAAGTCTCATCCATCTCCCAAGGAACGGGTGGTAGTATTGAACTGCTGACCTTGAGGTTAGCAGTCCAGCTCGTAGCCACTACGCTACCAGAGCTCCTTAGGATATATGAGGGGGTTTTGAGAAGCTTGTGGAAAAATTCCATTTTCCACAAACTTTTTGAAGGGTTTTTGCACAACACATAGGATAATTACATCAGATCACAAGATGGAAGGTAACTACATAATATGGAAAATCATGGCCCAGCTAACTTTACACATCTTTTGGGGGACACAATTCAATCTATAACACGTAGTGCTTGATGGAATTTGGCCCAGCTAACTTTACACATCTTTTGGGGGACACAATTCAATCTATAACACGTAGTGCTTGATGGAATTTGGCAGCTCTGTAATGACTCAATCTCACTGCACATCATGACCAGCTGTGGCCATTCACATTTTCATGTAACATGTGACCTGACCCTCACAATTCTCGTTCTGCTGAAGCCACATCTACGGACACTGGGTCAGTCCATTCCACTGAGAGCTTTTTGCCAGTTTGCCTGACCGTTACTTATCAAGTGTGATGTCCTTCTCCTGTTTGCTTTGAAGTCAGCATCTCTGCAGTGACTGAGCCATGTGACAGGGATAGGTAGGTAGTCTCTAGAACCTGAGGGTTTCAGTCCTACAAGGAACTGTTATTGTTGTGTGCCGTGGAGTCGGTTCCTACTCATAGCGACCCTGTACAGGGTTTCTGAGGCCGTAAATCTTTACAGGAGCAGAAAGCCTCCTCTTTCTCCCATGGAACAGGTGGTAGTTTCGAACTGCTGACCTTGCAGTTCACAGCCCAATTCATAAACACTACGCTACCAGAACTCCTACAAGGAATTGGAATCTGCCAATCTGCTAAATATCTGAAGGTGCTCAGATGCAGACCCTTCCCCCAGTTGAACCTCCAGGTGAGAATGCATCCCAGCAGAAGCCTTGACTGCAGCCTTGAGACTGAATTCTTGATGGAGACAGTGAGATGATGAATGTCATGCGTTGTTTTGAGCTGTTAAATCCATGGTCATATATTATGCAGCAACAGGAAACCAAAAGGAGTGGATAGGTATTTGATTCTATGGGTTAAGATCCAACATTATTTATTTATTTTTAAGGTTTTTATTGTGGATTGAGTGAAAGTTTACAGGGCAGATCATCAGTTTTATATTCAACAAATCATACACCTTGTTTCATTACAATGATTATAATCCCTTCCATGTACGATCAGTTAACAGTATTTCTCTCTATTCACTTTAGCTTTTTTTTTTAAAAACACTCAGGCATATAAAATAATTTACACCACCAAAGAGCACATTCTGTAAGTCTGCCTCCTGGCCACCAGCTCTTAGTCCCTCTCTTCCCATGAATCTAGAGTCCTCAGCTGCTTCCTCTCTCCATATCTACATCTCTGCCTCCATCTCTGGTATTGCTGCGTCTCTGGATAAGGTCTCACATTCTGCTTGTGCTCTTTCCCTTTGATGGTCCTAGGGTCCTTAGTTTCTGCACTGTAAGATTAACTACTTCCCCATTTTTGTTACAAAACTTCTACCTTTGTGACAGTCGCAATTACTATTGAATTATAAGAATCATATCCCCA